GAAAACACATGCTACACCAGATAAAAAATAACATAGCGACATTTCTAATTACATAGTAGTCAAGTAACTTGAACCACCGAGAGCCTTTACACATATCATCTAAAATACAGAAATACTTCCCATGTGATGACAGGTGTAAATTATATACCAACAACCTTTTAAAATTTATTTTTATTTTATTATGATTAGATACAACAATACTTTTGATGAAAGAATAAAATAACAAAAAAGCCAACTTGAGAATACATTCATAACCCTTGATTGAGAGCTTCAGTCTTATGATTTAAATGGTATTTTAGTAATCCACTTGTATACTAAAATTTAAAAAATCGATAGCAACCCTAGACTAAAAGCTTGTAATTTTTAGTTTCAGGTTCATTTTAATATTTTTAATAATCATAAAAGATTAAAAAAAATAATCCTAACACCCTCCTAAGCAATGCTACATTTAATTAGTTTAAGAGAATAAATAATTATTTTATTATTATAATTCACAATAAAGCAACTATTTTTATCCCCTTGTATTTTAGTATATCTAGTTATTTTTACAGTTACAAGTAAGATTTGTGCATAAAAACCAGTAATTTATTTAGTTTATAAAATCAAAATTATGATATTTAAGTTATGATTGTTTTTTAAAATATTTTTTATTTAAAAATATATTAAAATAATATATATATTTTTAAATTATTTTTCATATTATTGCATCAAAATAATATAAAAACATTACAAAAATATTAATTTAAAGTAATTTTTTTGTTAATATTTTTAACAAATACTTTAAAAACACAAAAACAAAAAAAACGTTTGAAATCATGTTTTTTTAAAACAATTTTTAATATATTTTTAGATATTTTTAACATGTTTGAATTATTTTTTAATATAAAAAATATTTTAAAAATCAACTCCTACTAAACTGCTACTAAAGAAGCTCCTCGTTAGCAAACTAGTCATCGCAGAAAACCTCCCCCGGCAATTCGACAAACAACAAAACAAACACCAAATCAAAATCGCTGGTGGCAAAAGATGAAAGCATTAGGATGGTGGCTGATGCTGGTGGGCTCGCTTCGATTAGCATCTGTTTGGTTCGGTTTCTTCGACATCTGGGCTCTTAGGCTGGCTGTTTTCTCCAATACAACCAGTAAGCTTCTTTCTTTTCACTCACTCAACATCTCCTCCAAAAGTCAACCCCCCCCTTTTTAGCTTAAAATCCTGGGTTCTAACGGTTTGTGTGTTTTAATGCCTAATGTCGAATTGCATCATGCAAAATTTGGATCCTGATTATTCAAGGTTATCAAAACCCAATTAAGATTTGATCCAATGTTTTATTTGTTATAGAGCAGCAGCGAGTGGGGTAAATTTAAATCTGGTGTCCGAGAAAGATAATTTCAGTTCATTGTTAAGCAGAACATAGAATGTTAAAATGATTTTGATTAGTTCTATGGGGATTTGTACCCAAGATCTGGGATGTGGTTCTTTGGGGCTGCATATAGGAGTATGGGCAATTGTGTACCTGAAATGGAGGATTATATTAAGGGAGCAAGGCAGGATGGTTCCTAGAGTTTGAAGTTTTATCAATTTACTCAAATAGTTGCTTCCTGCATACTTTTAACTTAGAGGGACTTTAAGAGTCCGATTGAAGAATGTGTCGGTAAAATTTTTATCACATGAAACTACTAGCGGTAATAAACTATTTGGTTATAAGAAAAGAACTACATCACAGGTTTCGCCTATCTGAACTACAGAAAACCCAAACATTCATGCATTGTAAATCAAGTAAATCTTACCTGATCTACTTCCACTGATCCCTTTTCTGTTCTCTCATTTCCCACCATTGTTCTTTACTATACTACAACGAGGAGTTTTTTTTGTAGCTTCACATAGACCTGCTTTAAGGTCACAGTAGTTCTGGATGGATGGTTAAGATGAGAGAGCATACCTTTTGATCTGACATGACCACTAGAAGTGTGTTTTCTGATACTTCGATGATTGGTGATTAAATGTCCGACGCTAAACTGGCAGTTGCTCTTTAAGTAATAATTGGATACCAAATTGAACCCGTTAGGCCTGTCTTTTCTGATACTTTATTGATTGGTGATTAAACTCTCCTAGTTAACATGCATTTGCTGGCAGAAAAACTTTAGCCAGTAATGACAATAATAGAAACTTCCTCTTTTCTTAGATTTGAATACCAAGATAAACGGTTATGTTTCATGTAAGTGTATTTTGTTCCTTTGATTTTGAATCCAGAAAAATAGCATCACAATCTCAAAGACAAAGCAAAACACTCTCATAAAAACAAAGGTGTGCAGCAATTCCAAATCAGAAGATGCATCTATTTCTTTATGGTTGAAGTTTTGTTTGTAACATCTTTTTGATTGGTTTCAGTGGTAGAGAGTTCTCCCTAATATCATGTTCTGATTTTTCCCTCCCTCTTTAATTAACTGTTATGCAGTGACTGAAGTTCATGGAAGAACATTTGGAGTTTGGACACTATTGACTTGCACTCTTTGCTTTATTTGTGCATTCAATCTTGATAACAAGCCACTTTATTTGGCCACCTTTTTATCATTCATCTATGCCTTTGGGCATTTCTTGACTGAATACCTCATATATCAGACGATGGCCATTGCAAACTTGACTACTGTGAGCATTTTTGCAGGTATGCTTCTTTCTTAGCAGACCTGAAATGTTTGATTTTTCTGTCCTTGTATCACTTATCTACCAATATTTTTCATGCCCAACCAGGGGCGGAAATAGAAAATTTTAACCAGGGGTGCCATCATAAAAACTATAATGTTGGGGAGCAATATTTTATTCTTATCATAAAAACTATAAGGTTGGGGAGCAAATATTTTATTCTTAGAGGGGCTAAATGAATAATTTTTTATGAAAAAAAGAAAATTTAAGGACTAAAATTAAATTTTAAAAAACTTTGAAGACAATTTATATATATAATGCTGTAAATTTGGTAAACAGCTGCAAACAGTTGATGATGGCCCATGCGTTAGGAAATTCTATGCATCTTCATGAACTTGGGCCACCTATAATGCACCTAGCTAGTTTCCATGCTTACAGTTAGAGAATGTTTCAAGGGAGTAAATAAAACATCCACTTCTTTTAATGCAATGGAAGTTAACTAATGAGGGTTAATGTTTCATAGTAAAAAATTTCAGGCCTAATTTATTATGCATAGATACCTACAGCAAGCTTGGCACCCCCCAAAGCTTGCCGGAGGTCCGCCCCTGTGCCCAATCCATTTTGGTTCTAGGTTTACTTTTCAAATAGCCTGCTTGCAAGTTGCAAGTCTGGTTTGTTGTGCATACTGTGGAATACTTTTTGGGTTTTCCACTAAATCCTAAGGTAAAGGTAGATCGGTGTGAGCTTCCGGTTTGTATTTCCAGCCAAATTGCGCTTTTGCACAATTTTATTTGTTCTCTTGACAGAGGATCATCATGCAACTTTAGAAAAATTTCTTTCTTTGGTCTCCATTTAGTTCATCTGTTCCTTTCAAGCAGGTACATCAATAGTCTGGATGCTTATTCAGTGGAATGCGCACCAAAAGAGCCATCCAAAGCATTCATGAAACTGGGATGTTATTTTGCCTTTGACGCGCAGGTCTTTCTTGCTGATCTTGAGGGAGGTTTTGCTACTCGTTTCCAGCATCTAATTTGGATTTCTGACACCGCATGCCAAGGCTTATAGCTCGCATTGCTTGTTAGACATACCATTAACTGGACCGCTGTTTTAATGATGTTCTTATTTTCAGCTTTGAATGATTCAACTATATTAAAATTTTTGGAAAGCACTCGAAAGTTGACTGGCTTCCTGCATGCTGTAATTGTCTGAATTTATTGAGCGTCGAAACTTCAATTATTCTCTGTTCAAGGCTATTGTTATGCCTGCAGTTGCATTATATTTTTGGATTATTTTTCAAATGATTAAGTTTATCTTGCTTTTACAGTCAAAGATAAACCATTTTATGATCAATTATTAAAACTAATAAATAAATTATTGATAGAGTTAGAATACTCTTTTTTTTACTCTTAACAAATTAAACTGACATAACGTATTCATAAAGAATGAACTTGCTTGCATTCTAATGCTTGGCCTAGCGGTGGAAGAGACTTGTCTTTTTCTACTGCACCTGGGTTCGAGTCTTGGCATGTATGTCTGTCACCCTCGTGATGCCTTACATGTCTACTGGGTTTGAGTTTGCAGGGTATTCAGTGAGCTGTGAGGATTAGTCGTGGTGCGTGCAAGCTGGTCCGGACACCCCATGTAAATAAAAAAAAAGAAAAAGAATGAACTTGTTTATAAGGTTCATAATTGAATTATTTTTAACCAAATAAAGATGTTTATATTTATTTAAAAATATTCTTTTATTTCATGAATACAATAAATATTGGAAAACCCCGAAGCTGAAAGGAAATAAATGAATAAATTATATACTCTACAGGGAAAATTTAAAAGTCAGATGTCCTAATAGTGCAAATATGTCTATGTTGATGTTTGGTTAATGCATCCCACCGTAGCAAAACGATTTGAAAGTATAATAAAGGTCATTTTTTAAAATATTTTTTTGTTTAAAACTATAAAACAAACAGGAGTTCTAACACTTGCCTGCAAGGTGGACTTCAAGCCCACGACCGGGCATTGCATTGGGAATCTAGGATTATTGAATGCTCTTATTTTCTGTTAGTGAATCAAGTTTTGCACTAAACACTGTACTTTCATTCTTTCAGAGCCCGTGCAGGTTCTGGCTACACGAGGAGAGACGACTTCTCTCTCTACTGGCCCCTTCTATTTCCAGAGGACAAATACCTTTTCTTCCTATACTTGAATTTTAGCCTTCATGGGGTGCGCCCCTCCTTGCCCTCTCTTCACATAGAGATTGAAGGAGATAGACTCATTTTTTTCTCTTCTAATCACTCATGCAGATTGTTTGATCATCCAACTGCACTTATCACGTTCAATTTCAACAAGTTCATCGAGGCATATAAGGGAATTTAAAGACATAAACAAAGAGAAACATGTATGTACAATTGCTCCCCCTAGGCTACAGAATACATGAATACAGAATGTCTAGGACTTCAAATCACCCAATTCCAGAGGGTGGATATTTTAACCACACCAAATAACTTGCTTCCTGTCCCGCTATGTAGCGACGACAGGCTGATCCTCAGCACCTTGGGAGGAATCAGAAGGAAAGAGCACCTACATCCTCACTAGCAGTCACTAACTAATGCAGATCTTTTTCTCTGCATTCTCTCTGATGGTTCATACAAGTATATATCCTAAATGCTCCTGCTTATTTATCATTATTCTAGCTCACGATTTGGAGGCTTCCCTGCAGCATTTGCATCAAGCTTCATGACCCGTTCTAGTATTTCATAGAAAGAGAGGCCGTGGCTTTCCCTAAAACTCCTCCTCCATCAATATGATCATCAATCAATGAACGGGAAATATCTTTTGCATCATTTCCGTATGGACCTGACCTGATTGGGTAAAAAACAACCTCCTCATCGCCATGGCTTTTATACCCTTGCTTTAATTTTATGTGTTCTGCATTATCTATCTCGTTTTCCTTAATCTTTCTCAGACCACCAATCCCAAGTTGTGTGATTATTGATAGGGAGTTCTGCATCACAGAGCTAGATGCATCATCTCCCCTGTAATGTTCTTCTCTTAACTGTTGTAAATTCCTTTCGCCTTCATTTTGGGTTTGATCATCTAGTGAACTTACATCCTCAAGTTGATCGCCCTTCTCTTCAATCTCTTGATCTTCATTTGTTCCTTCCCTTTCCTTATCGTCTACATCAATGAGATCCTCTACTTCCTCAGTTTCTTCCTCTTCTGTTCTTACTTGATCATGTCCATCTATTTCTTCATCCCCACCACTTCCTTCATCCTCAATTTCTCCAGGTTTAATTTCTTCGATTTCTTCTTCCAATTCTGCTTTACCTTCATGATTTTCAATCTCTAAATCTGTTTCCCTTACCCGAGGATGGAGGCCTTTCCTCCCAAGTTTTACTACTTCATGATCGCCTCGAACCTCTTCTGAGATCTTCCCAGTACTATCCTCATATCCTGCCTTCTTATGGTAAGAATGCTTGAGCTGGTTGACCAACCAGACGCCAATGGCAAGCAACAGAAATACCTGAATGAAATGCTTTACCTTAAAGCCTTTGGACCTCAGGTTTCTACTGGATGACTGCTTCAACATGTTCAAGTCCTGAAACGAGTGTGTATCCTTCAATTGTCAGCAGGAACCGGCAATTCCAATCTGTGAGTGCGAAACAATGATCAAAACAGAACAATCAGTATTTAAAGTCTCCATAACAAACAACCCTAAACCTTCTAATTTATTTTTTGAAAATCCTAAATTACAATATGTTCAGGCCAAGGTGATAAACACAATGGATGGACATTGCCCAAGGACAACGTACCCTGAAACATTCTATGACAAAAAAAATTGTTACCCCAAAAATGCTTAAGTAATTATATCAGTCCTAACTGAACAAAATGTATACGCTTGAGCAAGACAAACTGCCAGATAATAATCCGGGATAGAAATTTTTTTCTTCGGCTATGAAACAAACATGAACAAGAACTGAAAACTAAACTTCATCTCTACTGTGTTGCTCATAGACATATAATCATATTAAAGACATTTGAAAGATGAATGAACAATAGAATCGATAAATGAATGAAGAAATTGAGCTGGCACTGACAAGGAATGACAGAGCTACAATCTTTTTAAGCACAAAAATGAAAGCAATTTCTAGCAGAACAGAATATTCTTCCCAAGCAATATCGAATATGGACAGATGAAAACAGACGAAATGCAATCAGACAAAGATATCCATAGCTGTCTACAACACACCCAACCAAAAATTAAGAACTTTATAAAAAAATTTAGTAGAAAAACAAGAACTCCAAGCACATAAAGTCCAAGACACCATTCAAAAAAAGCATGTGTGTAATATATGATATAAGAACCAGACATAACTTAACGCAAGTGGAAAAAAAGAGAAGCTAAAGACACAAAAGGGTACCTGTAAGAACACTGAGCAGGAGATCCCAGAAGAAAAAAGTGGAAGCTTTGCGATTGGCAGTGGAGTGTATTTGTATGTATAGGAGACCAGTAAAGGTAGTTTTTTTCACAGTAAAAAGGTTGGTTTGTTGTGTTGTTCTCAAGAGAAATGAGTTATAAGTGGGAACAGAAAAAACAAAGCACCTGGCTGATAAAAGAATAGAAGGGAAGGGGGCAGTTGATGGTTAAAGAGGGCGAACATTGTTTCTCTCTCTCTTTTAACTCAACAGAGTATGAACAAGAGAACAGAGTCTCAAAAAAACGTCCACCACCACAAGGGGTGTGACACTGTATACGTGTGACCCAGAAATGTCGGCAGTTCTTTATGTTTGGTAAACTGGCATCAATTCACTGGCCACTTTGTTTGTCTACTTTTTAAGCCGACTAGGTTTCACGGTTTTCAAATCTCTTCCGGATCTGTTGTTTGTTTTTTACTTGTAAACCATACGTTTCACGTCCTTGGTATTTTGGCGTGCAGTTTTGAGGTTATACAATGTTAATATAATATTATTCAAAGTATTAATTTAATATACATAATTTTAACTTAAATATAGAAAAAAATTCAACTTGAGATTGTACCATTTAAATATAATGTCAGGTATCTAAAAAATAATTTTAAAATATAAACATTAATATTTAATAATTATTAAATCGTTAGCTTGTGTTATGCTGCGGTTCATATTATTCTTTTTTTAAAGTAAAATAAAACATTCAGGTATAACTAATATTTTTTTAATAGAAATTTTTTTTTAATCGTGTGAGAGTTGATCTAATACGAACCAATTAATTTGATAACTAGTAAAAAATTAATTTAACTAAAAAGATTCAAGACAACATACTTTTTTTAAAACAATATTGAGACGACAACATATTAGATTGATCTGGATTAATTCGAGTTAACTTTTCAAAATCGCAAATCGGGTCATGAGATCTTGGTAGCCTCATATAAAACAAATTAAAATATATTATGAAGCTCAAATTCAAATCAATTCAATATTGAAAGATAAAATTAAAAAAAATTAAAAAAAACAAAAAATGACCGAAGAACCCTATAAAAAAGTAAATTGAAATAAATTATGAAACTTAATTTTCAATTCAACCTAATATTAAGAATGAGATTGAAAAAAACACAAAAAAAGACTAGAGTCAACTTGGCTTAATCCTTTAAATCCATAATTCAAGTCATGAAACCGGAATAGTCTTATAAAAAATAAATAAAAAAATAACCTAAGTTAGCCTACCAAACTTGTGACATGTGTTATGAGATTAAAATAACTTTTTGGAAAGCAGGCTGAACAAATTATAAAGCTTGATTTTCCATAAATCTATTATCGAATGATAAAATTAAAAAAATAATAATCTAGAAAGGACAAAAAAATCAATTTAAGTCTATCCAGATTAACTTGCAAAACTCATAACTCAAGTCATGAGATTATGATAACTTTATAAAAAACAAACTAAAATAATTAACAAAATCTAATTCATAATTAGTCAAATATTGGAGATGATAAATGATGAAACTGAAAAAAATAATTAGAAAATAAAAAAAAAACTTGAGTTAAACTGTCAAACTTATGATATAGATCATTAGATTGAAATAACCATAAGAAAACAAAACATAATAAATTATAAAGTTTAATATCTGATAAATCAAGTATTAAAGGATTAAATTAGAAAAAAAACATAAATATTTTTTTTTAAATAAAAGGCAAGAAACATGTATTATTGCATGGAACGAAATAGACAAGATAAAATTGAAATATCTTAGCTGAAATTTAGCTTAAAAATAAAGAATGAATTGAGATTTATTAAAAAATAAAATTTATTTTGATTTATTTAATTATTTTTTCAATAAAATAAAATAAAATTAATAAACTTCAAGGTGGGTCACTCTTTTTTTCCTTTTCCCTTCCTTTATTTTCCTTTTAGCTTACCATACAAAATCTAGCCAAATAACCACGATTCCTTCTTGCTTTAGAAGTAGTTCTTTTTTTTTTTTTTGCGTGATATTTAGTTTCCATGTAATACAAACCACAATAAAAAATAAGATTTTCTAGATATCCAGGTTTTGTTTAATTTCCACAAGAAGAGACCCCTCCGTTAAAAAGAAAATCCCTTTATATATTTTTGGCTGCTTGCAAAAGACGAGTCCTTTTTATATCATTTTCCCGTCACATATATTTAACTATCTCTACTGTCATTTAATTTATTAATATTTTAATTTTTATAATCATCATAATTAAAAACCATAATCTCTCTATTATTATTATTCCAAGAACAATCATCATCTCCACCGGTAAGCATCGCCATCACCCTCTCACCACCATATTCAATGTAAATGTACGATTTTTTGCGAGCACAGAAAAATATGTTGATGTAAAATATGTACGATTTTTTGCAAACACGGAAAAATATGTTAACGTAAATGTACGATTTTTCAAATATTATAATAAATAGAAAACAAAATGTCAAATTAAGCATAAATTCACGTTTATAATGAATGCCATTTATCAAACACCATAATAAGCAGCATCACAAGATTTACTCTGACGTAAGTGACACGTATGATCTCGTATATATTATGATAATAATTATAATGACATTTCTATAAACATCACAATAAGATATAGTTGAAATAACACTTATAATAAATGTTTTGTTAGATAACTTAAATATCAAACTTGTATGTTAAGAGAGTATCATAATAGATAATTCATGATATATTTATGTACGTCAGTCACAATAGTATGGCCGAAATGATCATTATAAGTATATCTAAAGACAATTTAAATGCCACGATTGTACGTTAAACAATGTTATTTAATTTTAATGAAAATTTCTACTCGAAACAAACAATAATAACTTCAAATCATGTTTTATTTGATCGAAATAATTCTGAAGTTCATCTAGAAAAAAAAAAAAAGAGAATTATCAAATCAAACAGCAAACAGGGATGATGAAGAAACTAAAAGCAGGTGGATAAAAACGCATTGCAAGGCCCAGTGAAAATTAACGAGCAGAGAGGGATCGTGGTTTATGATCAGAACATAAATTGCTTGTTGATTAGATTCTGACAACAAATCTCACGAACAGAAAATTAAGAAATTATGACCAAAATAATTCATCCAAGCCAACGATGAAACAAGCCTATAATAACGACATGCCTTGATCGCGAGGTGGTCGGCATTTCCCAGGAAGTCGTCCTTGTGAACTCCCGTGACTTTCTACAATCACCCACCTGATCTCTGTGTAGGGGTAGCGTAGCAGCTAGAGAAAGGAGTGGCTGGAATTGTCTGTGAAAAAGAGAAGAAGGGATTTATATCTTGGATGAGGATATAATCTTGAATTATTTGTCTCTAACGAAAATGGTTTGAGAAAGCGTAGAAGGGAAGAGGAAAACAAAGAAATAAAATATATAGCTAAGTTAGTGGAAAACTCTATTACAGAATTTATCGTGGAGTGTGATAATGAACTGATGTTTTTGCAATTCATTGCTGGCAAGAGTAACCTTACGACTGAAATAGGTTTTTCATGCGATCCATTTATTATTTTTGTTTTGCTTGAAGATACAGATATCTTTTCCTGTTTTTAGAAAAGTAAAATACCTTCGTTCTTAAAAGAAAGAAAAAAAAATCAGATAATGAAATTTTATATTTTTCAACTTGATAAATTTACTAAAACAACCCTTATTTCAAAATTAGAATATTTTTTTTCAACATGATAAAATATTTTGTTTTTTTCAAATTTGATATTTCCAATCAAATGTCCTAGATCACAGGTTCCATCATTTTTTATATTTATTTTAGTTTTTATGATCTTCTTCAAAAAAATTTTATAGAGTTATATTGGTTTCATAATCTAAAATGTGAATTTAACAATTTAATCCGAGTGGACTTACACCTTTTTTTCCTTCTGGATTCTTTTATGTGGTTAATTTTTTTTTTATTTCTCTCTTTAATATTTGATTCATTAAAAATTAATCTTTATTGTTTTTCTATATTTGGTGTTACCAATCAAATAGCCTAAGATATGAGTTTTATAGGCTAACAAGAATTGATATCGTTATTTTTTTGGATTTTTTTATCTCATAATTTGATGTTGGTCTTTTTAAAATTGAATTTTATGAATTTATTCGTTTTCTTTTCTATTAGGTTATTTTGATCTTATAATCTGACCTGTGATTTTGGTGGATTAACTCAGACGAGCTCAAGATTTTTCATAGCTTACAATTTTTTTTTTTTTATATAT